TCAATCAATCAATCATAAGGTTGGAATCCCCTTTTACCTTTTAATCCTTTTTCAGGCCAAAATAGCCATTTGCTAAATGCTTACATACTGTTAAGATCATTTTATTCATTTCGTGTTTCAACCGCAGTTCACATATACATCTTTCACATATCCACGACATGATATAAGCTATGATTCAAGTAAATTTATCTTCATGTAAGCAATGGTGTTAATTATCACCAGGTATACATGTCTGGATTCATGAAAGCAGTGTTGAAGAAATCGGGCCCTGCTTAAGTGTTTTTCTCGCAAGAGACTGCCTCCAAAGTAGAGGATATAAAAATTCAAAGGAATGTTTTTTTTTTCCCAACTCTCTTATCTTTCTTTGGTTCCTCATCTCTCTCTATTTTGTTCATCGCTTGGAGTGATTTTAACGCCTTTAAGAGTCGTGAAATCAAAGTGCATACGGGGGATTGACACGCTTTTCATAAATCCAGTCATATATATTTCATTACGTAAACAAGGAACTTTTTTAGGGTCGACCTGGACCTTCAGGACCTATTGGATTTCCAGGAAAAGACGGATTTAAGGTGGGATAAAAAGTTGTTGTTCTTCTCAAATGGTTGCAATACATAATAGTTTTGTAGGCTGTTTTCCATGAAATGGTCGTATACTTATCACGCACATGAGCTAATGGTCAGAGATATATATAAGGAAATATTTTTCCGTGGAAAAAGGTCAGCTAATTGGAAAAACACATATAACTGCTCGATCCGCCATCTTGGAAGGTAATTGACTCTATAATGTCGTTTATCGTTTCATTGCTAAGGTCGAAAGTTTAATTCTCCCAACTTTTTGCCGGACATTTCCTTTAGTGTTGTAAGAATTTGACGTTGATTATGTTCTTCATCTCTGCAAAGTCGTCTGCTTGACAATGTCTTGATATTGCAAGGTAAAATAAGTTGTTGTTGGACCCCTCTTGATGAAACCTCAGAAAAATTGTTTCTCTAACAGGGCGAGGCAGGACAACACGGAGTTCAGGGCAAAACAGGCTTCCGAGGCAATCCCGGCTTACCTGGTAACCCTGGGGTGCGAGGAGGCATTGGACCGAGTGGTACAGACGTGAGTACATCAGAACAAACTGTAGTGTGGAGAAATAATACAACAGGTTTATAATTATTGTGTGAACTGCGTTATACTCGATTAAAAGAAAGTCTGGCTTCTTTATTTTTCAGGGAAAACCTGGTCAGACTGGTGATCGTGGACCAAGGGGAGCAATGGGAGGAACAGTGAGTGTGTATAACATGTTACTCACAAAGTTTCTCTTTACCTCGGCAGACTCATTCCCCCCCC